TTTATGTTCTAGATAGTAAAATTATTTTTCGTTCATTTAAATTGTTGTATAAAAGGTAAATATGAACCTGATTCTCCCACCCCATTCCTTTTCTAGAATAAAAAAGCCTGAATGTGCTCCAGTCAAAAGTATGTTCTGGTAAAAAATGTTTGAGCCTTGTTATATAAATGAAACTAAAGAAAAAAATTTAAAGTCTCTGTAATGGCATATAGTGTTTCTCAAGAGCACTTTGTGGAAGTAATTTTTTTTTTTAAACTAATGGGCTTTTTTTTTTTACTCAAGGAGAAGTACAAATGTCTACCACAAGACGAAAACGTAGTATGTTATGTTGTTTACCGTAAGCTGTAGTAAAATGAGCTCAATTGTTGACAGGTATGTTTTTAGAGATTCTTTTATTTTATATGGTTTAAAGCTATTTTAAAATTCACAATATATAAAGTAATGGTCTATGTTAAACTGAAAGGGAAATTATATTTAAATCTAATTACGATTAGGCTCAATTTCTGTATGAGACATAATAGTGAGAGAAGTCAATATTATTTGGTTATTTGGAGCTAAAGTCAGCATTGTATGACTTCTGATCTAAACAAGGTTTTTTGTGTAGTCTTGTCAGGAGTGCTTTCAAAAACTGTGGAAATTCACATTTCCTTGGCACCTTTGTATCTCCATAATTCTTGCCCTTTTGTACATCTCTCTTGGTGCCCTAGGAAGCTCTAGTGGGCTAGTGGGTAAGTTACACTGCCAAAGGCAAGTGGTTTAAATCCACCAACTACTTTGCAGGAGAAAGATGAGAAATCCCCTTTTCTGTGGTTTATAGCCTCTGTAAACCTGCTGGAGCATCAGCTACTGGTGGATCGTACTCAGTCACAATGAGTCAGTCAGTCAGTCTTGGTGCCCTAACTCTGTCCCTCGGCATCTTAATATGTTTGATTGATAAAACAGAAAAGATTTCTGAAATTTTAATCTTTAATAACCGGTTTATTTCTTTGATCCAGAGATCAATTTTTTTGTTGGCATTTCTGAAATGGCAAGGCATCTTGCAATTACCTTATCATTCAATTGATAGATAGCATTTTTTTCCTTAGTGGTGTATAAAATTATTTATAATTTATAATTATTTATAATTAAATTTATATTCTATTTATTTCTTCACTGAGATTTGGAGAGGTAGGAGCTTGCATGGAGGTTTATCTAATTAAATTTATATTCTATATATTTCTTCACTGAGATTTGGAGAGGTAGGAGCTTGCATGGAGGTTTACAAAGTTAAGTTTTCCGTTCAAACATTTAATACACATTTTATTCTTTGAGTAATTTCAGTAGCCACAATGTAATTGTACTTTTCCAACTTCTTTGTGATTTCCATGAATCCTTCTATATATCTTTATGCCCCCTTTCTTTAATGATACTGTGCTGATAACCCCTAGTAGGATGTTGCCTTTCCTTTTGCTCATCTTAGTACATTCTGTTGTCTGTTTACGCACTTTTACTCCTCCTCTTTCTTCCCATCTCTAATAACCAAGAATAATTGTGTGTAAATTTTTCCTTAGTTTTTTATAATAGTGGTTATCTTAATGTAAATATTCGTCCTTTTGTGACTGACTTCTTTCACTTGGTATAATGTATGTATGTCCATTGATAAATGCACTACTAATAAAGTGTTTTTCATGTCCTCTGCCTGTTTATGTAATTAGGTGGCTCGGGTTTTGCTGAGATATTGACTGTTAGAGGCCAGAGTCAGTTCTGACTCATATGCACAATTAAGTGTTCCGAAATTTCCATTCTTTTCAGTGTCATCCATAATTTATTATAATAGAATGCCTTTGTATAATCAGTAAGATACAAGTCAGCATTTTTCACCAGTTCCACTCTCGATATTTTCCCAAAAGACTCATAAACTCAAATACATATTTGAATCCCAGTGTTTATTGTAGTATTCATAATAGCTAAGTGACTCATGGCACCTAACAACCTCCCAAGTAGGTGTGGTGAATGGATTTTTCCTTGATGCATACCTTCTGGATTTTAAACCAGGCACTATCCCCTTTGTTCTGTACAAGCAACTATTTGATTCTGGTTCTATATGAAGACAGCTTAAAACTCATTGCCACTGAATTAGTTCCTGCTCACAGTGACCCTTTTTTGAGCCTCTGAGGCTATAAATCATAACAAGAGGAGACGACTCATCTTTCTTGGTGAAGCCATTGGTAGATATGTAACTTTGGGGTAATAGCATAAATCATTACCAGAGCTCCTTGAGCACATTTAACATTTTCTGGAATTTTTAGTCTTCTCAGTTGTTAAGTGCTATAGAGACTATGTGAGCAATATATCTTGGGTTCTAGGTAGTTAAGTGGCTTTGTATAATAAGTGAAATATAGATACCTTTCTGACAGGCTTCCACCCAAGATCCTTCTGATAGTAGCTATGATACCTGTTGTTCCATTAAGTTTTGTACACAGCTTGAATTTTTTGGCAGCTGTTTAAAAGTAGTCTTCAGCAAGATGTAACTGATATTTGATAATTTCTACATTTTGTTGACTTACACCCCTCCCCCCCATGCATGCAAGGTTTGGTTTTGTTTTTGTTGTTGTTTGTTTGGGTTTTTTTAAATTTTTATTGTATTATTTTTACGTGTACCGTCAAATCACATCTGACTGGTACAGGAGGAGGTTGCCCCCTCCTTCTCCAGCAGAGCATCTGGTGGATTTGAACTGCATACTTCTGGGATTGCAGTGCAGCGTCTTGCCACTAGGCCACCACAAGGATTTAATTTTTAGAAAGTCCCATTGTCTAGTTTATTCTTTGCTGGTTGATTGTACATTTTCAGTTTTCGTTGATAGTTGTATGTTAGATTAAGGCTCATAAATTTACCCCAGTTTTTTCTTTATACAGTTTTAAGGTTTTGTGTATATATCCTTAGTCTGTAGTTTTTTAGTGATACACATGTGGGTCCTATTTCAGTTTTTTACAACTTGATACCAGATTTGCCAGCACCATTTGTGAAAAAGCCTTTTTCTGTTTGTGTTTTGATGTGTTTGTTTTTTTGTTTTGGTTCCCTCCCCCCCCCCCCCCCGTTTTAATAATCATTCCTTTGTCAAAGGTGAGCTGCTATGTGTGTGGATAGAATTACTTCTACCTTCTCAATTCTGTTCCATTTGTCCTGTATTAGTACCAGGTTGATTGTTTTAATTTGCGTGTGCGTGTGCGTGTGTGTGTGTGTAATCAGATCCAGCTGGTATAGGAGAAATTGCCGCTCCTTCTCATGCCTTCCAGATTGCTGCACAGCTTCTTAGTACCAAGTTTTCTACTACATGAGGTTGTACATTAGTTTTGAGGCCAGGAAAAGCAAGGCCTTCCTGCCTCTCTTTTTTTCTTTTTAATTCAGTAGTGCTGCTTTGCCTTATCCAAGGTTCTTTCCTTTCTGCTATAGTTAGTACTTACTTATTGAAGAATGATGGAGTTCTAGATATGTAGATTACTTTTGAAAATACATTTTCACAATGTTGGCTCTTCTACATGAGCGTCATCTTCAATGAGCATATTGGATTTGTGTAAATACCTGGAATTCTTGTAGTGTTCTGTAGTTCTGTTTGTATATTTCCTTTTTCCACAGTTCTCTTTATTACTGTAAAAGATTTTGTTGAATCATTTACTTGGATTCAGTAATTTTTCTGGTTAAATCATTGTGATTTTTAAAAATATATCAAGTCTTATCGTCTGCACTTTCCTCTTTGCCAATATGGTTGTCTTTTATTTCCTATTGTTGCTTTATTCCTCTGTCTAGGATTTCTTCTGTCATGATGTTTATTTGTTTTAATGTAATAAAATGTATGATCTTAATAAGATCAAACTTTAGTTGCTATAAAATTGCTTCAAAGGGTACTGTTATTTGCTCAAGTATATTATAGACATCTTTTATGAAGAAACTGTATGTTTGGTGATCTTTGTGATAAATAATTTTAGATTTATTTACTTCTAGTGCACAGGTTTCATTTTGACAGTGACCCATGGTAAATACATATATTGCTTTGTAGTCTAGTACCCATAAACTTGACAACTGTAGAGTGTTTTTCATGAAGCTGTACTCATAATTATGTTTTTATTTCACTTGATAGTTTGGATTTTGTCTCATCTTTTATGTCTATTGATTTCATGCCCCACTAGTGAATATGAACCCAGAGTTTGAAAAATGTAGTTTTATGGTGTGTACCAGTGAGAACCTAACCGTATGGTCTGGTGTTTGTTGGTCCATAGCTTAATTGGCTTAGTGTGGACTTCAATAATTGGAAAGACTGGGAGGATGATTCTGATGAAGATATGTCAAATTTTGACCGTTTCTCTGAGGTAAGTTCTTCTTAATGCCTTCTCCCTCGTTATAATTCTCAATTTGTTTGTTTTACGCATATACTGATCTTTTAATAAACACATTCTTGTAAGGCCATTCTGTAGTAACACCAAAGAAGGCTCTTCTTAATAGTTCTTTTGACTCATTCTTTTCATGATTTTTCTTTGAGTTATAATCTAAATTTGATGTATATAAAAATGAAAAATAAACCCATATAGGTTATTCAACATAGCTGGTTTTTATTTCAACTTTAGGATAGATTGCTTTCTTGGAACACAAATAGAGTAACTGCCTTGCCTTTAGAGACCACTTAATGTTAAGTATAAACCTTTGAGAGAATCATACTCGGTACAATGAGAATTGGGAGAAATAGCTTGAGTTTTCACACATTAGGAAAACAAAGCACTCCAGTCTTCCGAGA